GTGAAAGAAATAGTTAATAATGCAATAGCTCCAACCGGGCTTCCTCAACTACGGCAGAAGTATCGGCAAGCTTACATTAGAACAGCAACAGTCCTCATTTTTTCCAACTGCTTGACCAGGTCATTTAGCCTTCCCCCTGTAAGAAGGGCAGCCATTTGATGGGAGCAAAAATGGAATCAGTTGTCAGAGGCTTTGTCACAAGTAAGCACATACCCGTCTGAACGCAGACTGCCTCCTCCTACTTCTGAACCGTGTCTGGGTTTGCCTTCTCTCATATACCGGGTGTTTATGTTGCTCTTGCATTGCTTGGAACGTAGCCATGACCTCTCACGTCAGCTAAGGCTGCTGCATTGACTGTTACTGCACTTTGCCCCTTCTCACAAAAAAGGCCAGTGCCACCATCCCACATCCTGGGCATTAACTATTTTATACTTTTTTTTTTTTTCCCTTTAAAAAGAAAAAAAACCCAAAAGAAAAAGGGTCAGGTATCTTGATATTGATTGCATCTTAGCTAATACCCTGCTCTCTGAGGCCAGCACCAGTTGCCAGAGCTGGTCTGTCTCAGCTGCGCATACAGAAATCATTTTAAAGTCTGACCTTCAATCACTGTAATACGATAGATGGAGAGACACCACCACCGTTCTGAGGGGCAGCAGCTCAAGAGCCTTGTTGGGAAGGCAAACATCCCGTGGGAATATGCAGTCCCGTGCAGCCTGTGCCCCAAAGCATCCCCTCCCTGCAGCAGGCACTGCCCAGGCAGGTGCTATCTACCGCACCTGACTGGCAAAACAGACAGCTTTGTGCAACACGTTAATTATAATCCTGTGATAAAATTGCCAGAAAAGGAATTCAGCTGGGAAATTTACAGAAGCAACACAGCAGCACTGATTCTTTCTTCTTTCAAGGAAGGGTACTAGTTACTTGGGATCCCACTGGGGTTTAATACATGTAATACACTTTTTTTTTTTTCAGTGCCTTACTGCTTGTGTTATTATCAAGATAGTCCTTATTCAAGCCAGTTATAATTTCCACTTTTTAAAAGCTCTTTGAACAAGAAGTAATCTTGTTTCAAGGAAGAAGTTAAACAAAAGAAAACCACTGAAGCTTAGAAGAGTCCTGTAATAGTTAAGATTTAATCTTGTTAGCTCAGTAAATATACTGCACTTATGCCTATAAACTCCAATATATAGCCTCCACTTTTGTTATCAGTTAATGAGTACTAATTAAGCTGG